CTGAGACTCCAGAACGCCCACTGGTTTTTGGTAGGGCCCGTCGCGCGTTCCATGGCAAAACCATCGAGCCCCAAGAAACCCAGGGCACCCTGGAGGCAAGCAGGGTGTTTCTTAGCATGGGCCTCCACTGAAAAGGTGAAGCTCCCAGTGGAGCTGAGGAGACGTCCAATTCCGTTGCTTCTGCTGGTGCTGGCCGTCCTTCCTCCATGCCCTCTGCTTCCTGGTCCGTGGCAGTGGCTCAAGCCGGCTGGATTGAGCAGAGCCCCAAGCAGGTCCTCCCCGCCATTCGCCAGTCCCTGCCGCATCAGGTGGGTCAATCACACATTCTTCCTATTCAGCTGCAGAACACGCCATCTCACTACATCATCAGGTCGAGCGCCCCAGGCGTTCATGAGCAAACTGATTCCAGTTTCAGGTGGCACCCGTGCATCAGGCCAAGCACATTCAGTCACAGCCTCTACGTGATTGCGCGGCAGCCTGGTGGACCAGCACACATACGGTAGTTCAGAAATTGCATCGACATCGCCATCGTGGAAATGGGCCCGCCCAAGCTGTACATGTTGACGCCGGGGCGACCAAGTTGAAAGACAATGTCCCAGATGGCGTCGGCGAGACACGTACCGCGTCTCATGGCACGTGGGCCGAGCTGCGTGGACGTCTGCGCCAGTGGGCAGAGCTTTCCGTTGAGGACTTCAGCAAATTGGAAGCTTGGACGCATCCGAGTAGTCGGCGTGCTCAGGGCCGCGCCGCCACCATTTCCCTTCGAGAGCTCAAGGAGTGGACTGCTGCCTCGCAGGCGACTGGCGCGGTACATCGCAGCATCAAGGATCCTTCGCCAGCGACCGAGGAATCACATGTTGATCGGCAACTGTTCGTTCACCCCGTGGACATCACAGAAGAGAAAGTCAGACGACAGCAGTCGCCGTGGAAGTCCGGCACATTGACATTCCAGGCGTTGCAGACCACGCGTGGCACGATACGAGAGCATACGAGAGCATGCCACAGTCGATGGTCCAGCGCCGTTGGGAGTCCCCGACCTTCGGCGGGCTGCAGGCCGCATGAAGGCCAAGGCGGGCCTCGGCATAGACGGGATGTCTCCGATTGATGTTCAACGTCCCCCAGATGATGTGTTGCATGATCTTTGTAACTTGTACACGCTGATCGATGAAGGTTTGTCGAGGTCGTGGCAAGACATGGCTATTGTCGGGCGGCTCATCGACAAGAAGTCGGCGGGCGATCGCGTCATTGGCCACACCACAACGTTATACCGCATGCAGTCGATGGCACGCGAAGACATCACCAAGCCGCGGACGGCCGAGCAAGAGACAGCGCGGGACGCTGCGGCGGCTAACAACAGCGCGCTTCGAGAGGCGTTTACCCATGTGCTGACCGACGAGGCGCAGACGAGGCTTCGCATCCCACTCGGCACGCCTCTGGTGGACATTGACTCTGTCTACGACTCGATGGAGTTCCCGCACTTAGCCGAGGGCGCGCTGGGCGGTGTATGTCATACTGGGCTAGCGCTAGGTCGGGCCTGTCCCCCTACAGGGGAATTGTCGACGAAAAAATACTCACTAAAATACTCCCCAAATGGCCAAAAAATGCTCCAAAAGATAGTCCCCTGACTGGTGTTTCTACTACTTCTGAATGTCCCCCCTGCAGAGGGACAGGCCCGACGTACTATTGTGGTAAGGCTAGCATGAAACTGAGCACGGCGCGTGCATCCATGTTCGGGTCGGGCGAAAGGGGGGGATAGCAAAGGGGGGGGGGGTTGAGAATCAGCTCACGTAGCTGATTTTCCCGGCGCCTCACGGCGCCGGAGGCGGCCGTGTATCGAGGAATGGGCCCCTCGGCGAAGCCGAAACCAGCTGCATGCAGCAAATTTCGTAACCCCCCCTTTCCCGATCCCCCCCTTTCGTCCGGCCCGACATGTCCGAGCGGCCCCGGGTCGACGACCCGTCCCTGCGGGCCAACCGGGCCACGGCAGCAGGCGCGCGGCACCCCGGCCGAGGGCGCCTCTCTGGCGGCCAAAGCTCTTCGCGCAGAAGCAGCTGCAGATGTCGGCTCAGAGTGCCACCACCTGCGCGTGGCCCGAGGACGCGCGAGCTGTTCTCCGCGTGCTTCGACGGCAGGGCGTCCACATGTCCGCGACCGTGCAGGCCTCGCATCTCGGGGCTGACCAGGGGTGCGGAGAAGCGGCAAGCGCGGGACACGGCACGAAAGAGAGCCGCGAAAGCAGGCGGACCGCATGCAGAGCTTCGCGGGTTCATCAGTGCTTCACGGCGGCACGGACGCATGCTGAATGTTCAGCGAGCGGGGCCGCAGGCAGCGGCTACTTCCGGACGCCAAGTCTACAGCGCAGTTGGCTCCAGCATGGCGCTTCAGAGGAGGCGACTGGCTGCAGCATCGGGCACCTCCAAGAGAGGTCGGGGCACCACCACCCTCCTAGCTTTGCTGCTTCCCGACGGCAATCCATAACTGGTCTTGCCAAAGCAATGTTTGCAGCAATGATTTCAAGCTTGGCTTTCCGCACCGGGCCAACGGCCGGGGATCAAACGAGCGCGGCCTCGGGTCGTTGCTGATCTGCAGAAAGTTCCAGCGGCCCGGCGTTCACGGCGCTTACATGGGCCTGTTTCGACAGTGGCGACTTATCTTCTGAAAGCGTGTTGGAATTTGATATCCACCACAGAATGCGACATGACGAACGACGTCGGCGTCGATCTGAAGGCTTGAGTTTTCGAGTCCTCCGATTTCGCGACGATGGATCAGGCAGCCCCCCTTCTCTCGGAATCCGTGGATACCTTAGCTTCGCAGCAGCGGCGCGCCGCTTCGGAGCATCTCGACGGACGCGGTGTCGAGGGCGGCGTGGACACGGCAGAGCTCCAGGCGCTTCATCGACACCTTGCACCACGTACATCGCGGATGTTAGCCAGCCGAGCTGATGGTCAGTACCGCAGTCGGTGGCACGTGGACAGGAGCCGAGGCACAGAGCAGGGCTCACGGAAGATGGGCACTGCAGCCAGTGCCCGAGAGGTGTGCCTGAGGACCCGACGCATCGCGCACGGCCCTGTGATTGCCACGAGGACGACGGCAAAGCAACGTCAGACTCGGCACGTCCGTTGCCCGAAGCAGTGCTCAGCAGCACGTTCGTCCAGCATCCGGGCTTCGTGGACTGAAACCAGCGGCGTGGACGGCCACGCCGTCGCCTGCCTCAGAGGATGCGTGGTCAACGGGAGACTTCGCAGGGAAGCTGGAGCGTGGAAGCTTGGGCCGTGGATCTCAGGATCGACCCCTGGTCCATACTTGGAGATGCCTCGGAGGGGCAGACGCGCACGACGTACGGCCACGACGAGTGGGGCCGTCAGTCACAATAGCATTGTCTTCCCCTCCTCTCGTAGTGGGGCCATTCATCTTCAGGCCTTTTGACTGGGCACAGTCGGACGGGTGCACGAGGAGAACTGAGAGCTGTACAGTTGGTTGCTCAGTATTTCACAGGTCTCGCTGTCTATACCCCGGATTGTGAGGAGGTCGCGCGTGGCTATTGGTCAGCAGCATGCGCGCAGCCAGCAGGACCTCAGACGGACATGTGGCGAGCCAATGGTACCCAACTCCATCGTCAGGGATGGGACCCGTGCACGATCATCGCGATGCAGGTGCCCCCCCACAGGTGCTGGAGCGACGAGTGCAGTCCGGGCTTGTCCAGGGCAGTGAGGCGGCCGATCGGCTGGCGTCGGAGGCAGCGCGGCAGCGTCGCGTGCCAGAAGCTCACCGGGCTCGACTGGCGCAAGTCGAGCATTAGGCGTCGCTGGTCAGAAGGCGTCTCCTGCGAGCGGCGCTGCAGGAGGTCAGAGCTTGCCGCTCAAGCCTGGGCGGCTCGCAGCTCGCCAAGCGCCCGAGGCACACCCACCTCCTCCGCCTCCCTGTGCGGTGCCCGCTTCGCCCTGCTCCTCTTGCTGTTGCACGCTTTGCGACCCAGCGCGTTCTGACCGAGGATGGGCGGGGCTGTAGCGTGTGTAGGTCCTCGAGCTCGAAAGCTGAGATGGTAGCGAGGCGAAAAGGTAAGTGTGCACCCCTCGAGGCCGCTGACGTATCCTCGGTAGAGCTTCCCCGTGGACAGCGTTGACGCCTCGCTGGAGGTTGGGCCCACACCTCGCGCAACTTGATCTTCAAAGAAGCGCTCCATCCGCCGCCTCGCTTCCGGGCACGGAGGGGCTCCTCCTCCTCCTGCTCCTCCTCCTCCTCCGCCTCCTCCGCCTCCTCCTCCTCCGCCTCCTCCTCCTCCTCCTCCTCCTCCTCCTCCTCCTCCTCCTCCTCCTCCTCCTCCTCCTCCTCCTCCTCCTCCTCCTCCTCCTCTTCCTCCTCCTCTCCTCCCCTCCTCCTCCTCCTCCTCCTCCTCCTCCTCCTCCTCCTCCTCCTCCTCCTCCTCCTCCTCCTCACTCCTCCTCCATCCTCCCCTCCTCCTCCTCCTCCTCCTCCTCCTCCTCCCTCTCTCCTCCTCCTCCTCCTCTCCTCTCCTCCTCCTCCTCCTCCTCCTCCTCCTCCTCCTTTCCTCTCCTCCTCCTCCTCCTCCTCCTCCTCCTCCCTCCTCCTCCTCCTCGCCCTCCTCCTCCTCCTCCTCCTCTCCTCCGCCTCCTCCTCTCCTCCTCCTCCTCCTCCTCCTCCTCCTCCTCCTCCTCCTCCTCCTCCTCCTCCTCCTCCTCCTCCTCCTCCTCCTCCTCGTCCTCGTCCTCGTCCTCCTCGTCCCAAAACAAACAAAAAACTCGTGTTCCTCTTCCCCTTGGTTCCCGAGCCGCAGCGCAGCCCACGGCTGAGGGGGGCCACCGAGGCATCTGCAGGACGACGACGACGACGACGACGACGACGACGACGACGACGACGACGACGACGACGGCGACGACGAGTACGACGGCGACGACGGCGACGACGACGACGACGACGACGATGACGACGACGACGGCAACGACAGCGCACAGACCGGCCCGGCCGCCCGCGGAAGGCGCCTGCCGCCCGGCGCCGCCGCCGCCGCCTCCGCGCCCAGGCCCGCGCGGGGCTCCGGCCGAGCAGCGGCGGCGGCCTGCGAAGGGGGGCGGACCAGGGGTGGGGCGCAGCGGGTCCTGAGGGAAACGGTGTGGGAAACGGGTCCTGCACCCCGGGGCAGTTCCCCCCGGAGCGAGCTCTTCATCCTGAGCCGTTTCCTGACAGTCCCGGGGCCAGTGGAGGGCCCCGAGGGCGCGCACACGGCGGAAAACCTCAGGACCCGTTTCCCACATGGCGGGCGGCCCGCCGCGGGGCCGACGGCGTCGCTGGCGCCGTCGTCGTCGTCGGCGTCCGAAGGTCACGAACTTGTTCGAAGGGGAGGCTTGGGCATCCGTTCTAGGGCGACGAAATCTATACATCTCCATTGTTCCCTGGACAGGCCCTTCCTGAGCCCAACAGCAGCAGTGTATGCGCCACGCCCTCCTGGCCTGGCGAGGAAGGCGTATACACAGCTCCTGGGCCCAGGAAGATCCCGGCATGGGGACAGTGGATATGTACAGATTTCGCGTCGCCCGACGTTCTGGGGGGCGTTCACCCTCCATTTTGGAAGCTGCTCGTGTCCACGTCGGAAGTCCGATCTGCCCAGGACCAGCGTGGCGGCAAGCGCGGCTTTCCCCAGGGCCAGCTGTTCGTCCATGGTCGCAAGCGGTTCCTCTACGAAACTATAGCATATCTAGTCCGTCCCGGCCAGTTTTGGGCAACCTCCACAGTGGAGGCTGTCGATCCTCTTGGGTGGGCCTCGCCGCCGCCCCGCCCTGCCCCACTGGCGCCCTCACCACCTGGCGCGGGTCGTGGGACCAGCCCAGACGTCCAACAAGTGCTGGTGCTGGCTCATTGGGGAAGTGTTTTCGGGCTCGAGGTTGGAAGAGACGTTTCCGTCGGCTCTCGGCGGCTTTCCAGCCTCGGCGGCCTTCCAGCGGCTTCGCCTCGCCGAAAGCGTCCTGGGGGGGGGGGCCGGGTTGTCCCGAACGGTTTCTCCCGCCCCTCCCCGCGCTCTTCCCGCTCCTCCCCCACCCTTCGCGGCCGCCGCCGTCGTCGTCGTCGTCGCCTACGACATCATCGTTTTCATCGACGTCATCGTAGGAGGAGGAGGAGGAGGAGGAGGAGGAGGAGGCAGAAGAAAAATAATAAGAAGAGGAGGAGGTGGAAGAGGAGGAAGAGGATGGGGGAGGTAGAGGAGGAGGAGGACGACGACGACGACTATGATCATGGGAACGGAGGAGGAGGGGGAGGAAGGGCAGGAGCTTCTCACGCTCCATGGCGCGGCATTGTGTCATCCCTCATGGTTCGGATGGTTCGAACGTGATTTTGATCTGATGTTGTGTACTACTTGCATAACAGCCCAAGCAGTGGGACGCATTTTCTCCATATTATCCGAGCTCCTGGGGATCTCTTCGAGACGACCTTGCGCATGAGACGTCCCCCATGTTGATCAACGTCACGGCAGCGATGTGCGCAGGCGCGTGAGGATTCTCTTTCCCGACTGCAAGAGAGCAATGCGCGATCGAAAGTCACGCTCGCTCGTCGCCTCCTATGAAGTGCAATGTTGCTTGAGCCAAACGCCCGCAACGGCGGGCGGGCGGGTGATATAATGGCGCAAGCAAGAGTGAATGTCATCGACTCCACCCGCGCCGCGTACCGGGGCAAACGAATACTCACGTGCTCGATCACGTCTTACTGCAGCCGCCGCCACACTTGTCTACCTTGTCCTATTGCTTCTCGGAGTCGTAGTTCCACGAAGACTTGCCACGCTCGTCCTTCCATTATTTTTAAACTCGTCGCCCCAATTATCACCGCGCCAACCGCTCCCCGAGCTGGAGACTTTCCTCTGCCCAAATGTGGTTCGCTATCGCTGCCAATGCTGCTGGGAGTTCCTTTTCTCCCGAACACGGGAGGTCCAAGACGGGCCACGGACCATTCGCAAAGAATACAACTGACCCTTTCCGCAGTCCGGGACGCGCGTAGATCTTTCAACTTCGACGCGGTTGCTCACGGTGTTCTCAGCCTCGCGCACCGCCCGTTTCCACGTTGTTCACCTTGGTGCGCATTTCGCCAACGGCGATGACAGCTCCACTACCCTTCTGAAGGCGATCTAAATACCAGCGATGGACCAGCTTCTCTTCTTCGGCCAACTTAAGGTTCTTGTCTAATATCAAACCTACTTTTCTTTTCGGCAGCCCACTCATTCCAATCCTAGCCCACAGTTTCGACATCTCCCGCCCCATCTGGATCAGCGAAGTCCTAATCGAAGGCTTCCAGGGGGCCGAAATCAGGGCAGCACTGACTCGCGTCGACCAAGGAGCAAAACTCCAGGTAAGTCCGCCAGCCCCCTCGCGGGGCCACCAGGCTGCGCGGCTCTGGCGTGCTGCTCCCTGTCCACTTCCAGTCTCTGGCCTCCGATGTGACAATTCTGCGCTCTGCCGCCCACTGCGAAGTCTTGAAATCCGCGCGAGGGGGGGAAGCTGAAAAAGGCCCTGACCACCTTCACCTGGGGGGGATATCTGAATTTATACAGGGGCCTGGGACGCGTAGAAATGCATGACATTCGCGCCGCCGAAACCAGAATCCCCCGCAAATCACGCCACAACCGCGCCCCCGAAGCCATAATCCTTTGCCAACTAGACATATTCGCGCCCCCGAGGCCACAAGCCCTCGCAAAGTTCGTTGCGCTCGCGCTCCCGAGACCATTACTCCGAGCAACTTAAACCAGACTCGCGCCTCCGAGGCCACTCTCTCTTACAAATGCAATGCTCGCGCCCCCGAAGCCACGATCCGCTGTAGATTAAGTGTGACTCGCGCCCCCGAAATCATACACCCTCGCAGAATACATAGCATTCGCGTTTTCGAGGGCACAAACGCGCATAGAAGGCCCCCAAGACGGCACTGGAGGCCTCCGAGACGGCCCAAGAATTTCTCAAGGCGCCCAAGATAATCCCAAGACGGCCCAAGAGGTTCCCAAAAGGCCCCCAAGAGCGCTCCAAGGACACCCCCAAGAGGGGCCCGAGAGGCCAACATCTGCGACGCCCATGGAGTTTAGCAAACTTGCATTGTCGGGCCCCCGACGCTCCAAGACGGCCCAGGAGGACCCGAAAGGCCGCCCCAAGACGGCCAAAAAGAAGCCCTGAAGAGCGCCACGCGACGGTTCAACAGGACCCCAAGGCGGCTCAAAAGACCCGCAAGGCGGCCCAAGATGGCCCCCAGATGCGCCCCGAGAGTGGCCCGAGACGGGGAACCCGAACCCGAGCGGCTCCCGCTCGGAGGTCCGACGCCGCCTCAGAACGGCGCCCAGGCCCCACACCATAGCTCTCGCCCACCCGGAGAGAGGAGGAGGAGGAGGAGGAGGAGGAGGAGGAGGAGGAGGAGGAGGAGGAGGAAGGCGAGGAAGAGGAGGAGGAGGAGGAGCTCGCGCGCCCGCGCAGGGGGCGAAGCCCTCACGGATCACATCTTTCTCGCCTTCAGTACCAGGCAACGCAGGTCGGGGTGCACCCCTGAGACCTCCCAACTTGCCGAATTTCTTAAGAATCGGCGAGAAACAAAACACTGGTTGACTCCGCTCGAACTCTGGCGGGGCACAGCGGCAGGATCACCCTTTCCCATTCCTCGCAGAGGACGCGCACGGCGTGACCCAGAAGAAGCGGTCCACATTCGATGGTGATCCTTTGCCTTCTTTTGCAATCCTTTCGCCCTCGCGAAAGAATGGTCTCTCGGCATTACTTTTTCTGCGCAGGGGCCCTCCGAACTGGCCGCGCCCACCATGATCGCATCTGGGTCAGTCGTCCCGGCCGCCGATCCAGTCCCCGGCGGCGGGGCGGCAGTGGCCTTTGCCAACCATAGACTCTGCAGCACAAGTGCGTTCTGGCTCCAGGGTGCGAGGGAAGACGCGCAGACCTCGTCGCAAATCTTGCGCGCAAGAGGGCCACGAGCCGCAGCTGGCTGCAACAACAACAACGACAACAACAACAACAACAATCATTTAAGACTGGGGACACTCCGTTCTCACCAGTGCCAGGGTTTTCATAGGAGGCCCGCCAATACCCCCACTTTGTGGGGGGGGCCGGTTCAAGCTCTACCACATTTCCAAACGACCCTTCGCCACCACCCACACCCAGCTTCCCGCCCTATGACGTTCGGACACTTCACTTCGTGGCCTGCGGACGACCGTGGCTACTATTCAGGGCCCCGCGGCCGACGACGACGGCGTGCGCGCGCGAAGAAAAAACGAATGTGTCCCGCATGGTATTATTTGACAGGGATGATGGCCCTGGCAGGTGCGCAACCGTTGTCGCAGAAGTTCGAAAAAGTTGCTCGCAAAAGCCCGTTTGACAGAAATGTTTAAAAAGTGTTGGGTTTCCTACGAATCCGCAAGAGCGCGCGGGATGAGATTTTGACAATTTTTTGTTGAAAAACCATTGGTTTTTGATGTTTTTATGTTAAAATCGCTGCGAACACTAAGGTTTTGGAAGGATTTCGTCTTGCGCGCGCGAATGTCCACTTTACCTTATTTTTGCAAGGGATTCTTGAAATTTGATTATATTAGAACAAGAAATGTCATTTTCTATTGTTTTTTGCAAGGGAAAGCGGATTACAACAAAACAACCGGATCCTGTACACACCCTCTTTTCTGAGGCTTCCTCACGAAAATGATGAAAATGTAGCTGCGGCCTAGGCGGCGCAGGGGGGGCGCGCACCAGGGGGCCCAACAATAATTATTCTTTAGAATAAATAATGTTCAACAACAACAACAACAACAACAACAACAACAACAGCAGCAGCAGCAGCAGCAGCAGCAGCAGCAGCAACAACAACAACAACAACAACAACAACAACAACAACAACAACAACAATTATCGTCTCCCCGCGGAACCATTAATGATTGCATCTGGCGCTCTTCCGAGGCATAACAAGCTGGGCCCCATATCCTCTCGACTGTCTGCCATTCCTCGAGAACTGCAGCACAACCACAACTCGCTCCAGGAACCAAGTGAAGCTGTGGAGCTGCGATCGCATGCGTTCAGCCATCACACTTCGGCACATTCG